ATTATACTTCTTATCATTCAGAATCTTTTTGTGTTTATGTTTTACTGAGTGCTTATAGGCAATTTCCATCCCAGTATTCAGTTAACTATTTATTTTCTGCGCACATTACATAGACATTCTACCTCTACTGCTTGGGACTTTGAGTCTTCAAAATGTCCAATGTCACAGACTGGGACTTACTTTAGAGTCAGTTGTATTTACATTCAGTATGACTTGTTATGATTCAATGTGAAAGAGTATACTGTACAATAAATAGTGATCACCTCACCACCTCTCTTGACATCTAGGCGCTTGAGAGTGAGGCAGAAGCAGAACACAGGGACAGTGGAGAGAGGTTCGTTGCTGAGGTGAGTGATGAAAGGGAAATGACAGTTTAGAGTAAATTGTGATGTGGTCTCTCATCCCAGAATGTTAAGAAAATCAGTGGGGATATTGAACAGGAAGCATTTCAGTCAAGGGGCATGATATGACCAATATAGACAGAAGAGCAACATTTAAGTCAATGATACCATTCCTAGGTGAACTTAACATCTGTATGGAGTCAGATCAGTATCAATATCACAGAAGGATTCACAAACGTATTTTGCGATTTATATATAAATGACTCTCCACAACAATATCTCTCAATGCACTCACAAATATTTATTGTTGTATATAAAAGTACAAAAAAATGGGCATTTAAACTGCTTTTTATTAATTAAAAGACGGCTCTGAATTAATAATCAAATATGTTTCCTTTCTTTACTACTGGATGAAATTACAAAATGCACCCATCATTTCCCTCATGCTAGTATAGCCACATAAAAGTATCAAACCACCTGTTAAAGTAAAAGTTACATTCAGGATAATTTCACAGTGATATGCAAAACTGGATGCCCTGAGATAAAAAATAAAAACGTTATTAACATTATAAAAAGGTGACTTAAAAATGAAAAATAAGGCACTTGTTGTTTTAGAATAAAACATGATATTGTGTGTGTCATGGAAATTAGATTAATTACATTGTGTGTTTAGAATAAAATTGAATCTGTGTGCTTTAATACTATAGTTTCAAGACAGGCACAGCAATGTTCTACATTTATGATAACAGTTGGCAGGTATCTAAATCACAGAGCATAAACTCATGCCCACTTCCTTTTGTAAAAGATTATTTCAGTTTTCTACAATATGGGTGTTATTTTTGCCTTTCTGACCATCTGACAAGCTAGCCAAACTAATATGATAAACATCATTTACATTTGCAAACAGTAAAATGATATCTCTCAAGCTCTCCATCGTAAATATCCATCGGTTTCCTTCAACTTGGACCTATTGAAAGTCTGCATTTTGGAAAAATAATAAAAAATAACAACAAAACAACAAAATTAAAATTGAAATTGCCTTCAACTGAAGTTATTAATTAATATCCTTCAGTTATTCCCGGTCTCGGAAACACCCAAGCACACACACAAACAAACACAGCAAATCATTTATTTTTCATTATCTTCAATAAACTCATGGACTACTGTCAATCAATCAATCAATGTTTATTTATATAGCCCAATATCACAAATGTTACATTTGTCTCAGTGGACTTCACAGTTTGTACAGAATATCAGTATGACAATACGACACCCTCTGTCCTTAGACCCTCACATCGTACAAGGAAAAACTTCCGGAGAAAACCCACAGTTTAAAGGGAAAAATGGGAGAAACCTCAGGGAGAAAGCAACCTTTATCAAAAAGGAAGGTCTTAAGCGCACTCTTAAAAACGGATAGGGTGTCTGCCGCCCGAACACAAACTGGAAGCTGATTCCACAAATGTGGAGCTTGATAAGAAAAGGCTCTGGCTCCCATTGTACTTTTAGAGACTAGGAACAACCAACAACCCTGCATTCTTGGAACGCAATGCCCTAGGACAGTAGGGTATAATGAGTTCTTTAAGGTAAGATGACGCCTGCCCATTAAGGGCTTTGTAGGCGAGAAGAAGAATTTTAAAGTATATCCTGTGTTCTATAGGGAGCCAGTGTAAGGCAGCCAGAACAGGAGTAATGTGGTCCCTTTTCCTAACTCTGGTTAGTACACAAGCTGCAGCATTTTTTAATCAGCTGAAGCGACTTGACTGACTTCTTGGTACACCCTGATAATAAGGAGTTACAATAATCCAGCCTTGAAGTAACAAATGCATGGACTAGTTTCTCTGCATCGTTTTGAGGCAAGATATGCCTGATTTTTGCAATGTTACGTAGATGGAAGTAGGCGGTCCTTGAAATTGATTTTATGTGGGCGTTAAAGGATAAATTCTGATCAAATATAACACCAAGACTCCTTACAGTCTCACTGGAGGCCAAATTAATGCCATCCATAGTTAGTATATCCTTAGATAATTTGTTTCGTAGATTCTTCGGGCCAAGTACAATAATTTCAGTTTTGGTCGTGTTTAACATCAAAAAGTTTAAGGTCATCCACGTTTTTAAGTCCTTAAGGCAGTCTTGAATTTTATTTAGATGATTAATTTCATCAGGCTTGATTGATAAATATAGTTGAGTATCATCCGCATAACAATGAAAGTTTACAGAATGATTCCTTATAATATTGCCTAACGGAAGCATATATAATGTGAACAAAATAGGTCCGAGCACTGAGCCCTGTGGCACTCCATGGCTAACTTTGGTTTGTGTGGAAGATTCATCGTTGACACGTACAAACTGAGAGCGTTCAGATAGATAGGACCTAAACCAGCCTAAAGCAGTTCGCTTTATGCCAACTAAGTGCTCTAGTCTTTGCAATAGGATATCATGGTCGATAGTATCAAATGCAGCACTGAGATGGAGCAAAACAAGAATAGAGACAAGTCCCTTGTCTGAGGCTATTAGAATGTCATTTGTGACTTTAACCAGAGCTGTCTCTGTGCTATGATGTGTTCTAAAGCCAGACTGAAAATCTTCAAATAAATCATTGTTTTTTAAGTAATCACACAGCTGTTTTGCGACTGCTTTCTCAAGAATTTTTGATAGGAACGGAAGATTAGAAATAGGTCTTACTCTATAGTTGCTAAAACTTCTGGATCGAGGTTGTGCTTTTTAAGAAGCGGTTTTATCACTGCTACTTTGAATGATTGTGGAACATAGCCTGATAATAAAGACATATTCATAATATTTAATAAAGAAGTGCTAATTAATGGAAAAACTTCCTTCAACAGCTTAGTTGGAATTGGGTCTAACATGCACGTTGATGGTTTAGAAGAGAGAATCATTGAATTTAATTGTTCATGGTTTATGGCTGAAAAGCATTCTAGTTTACTATCTAGTGTAATATTAGAACTTACGTTTCCGGGAGCTGTTGATAACACTATACTGGTCAAAGGCAAGAGGTCATTAATTTTGTTTCTAAGAGTAACAATTGTATTGTTAAAAAAGCACATAAAATCATTACTACTGAGTGCTATGGGAATAGAAGGCTCAATCGAGCTGTGGCTTTCTGTCAGCCTGGCTACAGTGCTGAAAAGAAATCTTGCATTATTCTTATTATCACCTATTAATGAAGAGTAGTAGGCTGCTCTTGCTTTACGCAGTGCTTTCTTATATTCATTGAGAGTAATATGCCAAATTAAACGAGATTCTTCAAGTTTAGTGGAACGCCATATCCTTTCAAGTTGTCTCGACTTTTGCTTTATTTTGCGGGTTTCGGCATTATGCCATGGAGCTAATCTATGTTGTTTTATTTTCTTCTTTTTTAAAGGAGCAACAGAGTCTAATTTTATTCGCAGCGCATCTGTAGCACTATCAACAACATGATCAATTTGGGGTGGTGTACATTTTGTATAAGTTTCCTCCCTTACATGCAGACATGCTATCGAGTTAAGTATTGGTGGAATCTCTTCCTTAAATTTGGCTATAGCACTAACAGATAGGTTTCTGCTGCAGGAGCTTTTGACTAATGCTTTGTAGTCTCGTAACAGTACTTCAAAAGTTACTAAGAAATTGTCGGATAAAGCAGGATTATGCGGTTCGACTAATAGTTGCTCAATTTCAATACCATAAGTCAGAACAAGGTCGAGAGTGTGATTATAGCAGTGGGTTGGTTTATTTACACTCTGACAGAAACTAACATAATCTAATATAGAGTTAAATGCAACAGTAAGGCTATGTTTATCATAGTCAACATGAATATTAAAGTCACCTACGATAATTACTTTATCTGTTTTAAGTACCAAAGTTGATAAAAACTCAGAGAATTCTGATAAGAATTCTGAATAAGGACCTGCTGCACAGTACACTGTAACAAATAAGATTGGCTGCAAAGTTTTCCAGGTCGGATGCGTAAGACTAAAAACGAGGCTTTCAAAGGAGGTATAGTGTAATTTTGGTTTAGTATTGATAAGTAAACTTGAGTCAAAGATTACTGCAACTCCACCTCCTCGGCCCATGCCTCGGGCAATATGAGTATTGATATGGCTGGGTGGAGTGGCCTCATTTATGCTGACATATTCTTCATGTCTCAACCAAGTTTCAGTGAGACAGCATATATCAATATTATAATCTGATATTAAATCATTTACCAATATTGCTTTAGATGCTAGAGATCTTATGTTTAAGAGACCACATTTAATATTCCTGTTTTGTTGCACTGTAGTAGTTGTTAAATTTACTTTTATTAGGTTATTATGTATGACACCTCTATTAGGTTTTACCTTAAATTGTCCTTGGGGAGACACACACACCATTAATATTGGGTATTTTATTGGGTTCGGGATTCCTATGGATGACTGCCTAGGAGAGAGCGCAGAGAAGCGTGTAAGACTGTGACTCCGCCTCCTGGTCTCAACTCCAGTTTGTCATGGATTAAGTCCACAAAGCCCTGAAAATGTTTGCCGAAATGAGATCTGCACCTTCCAAAGTAGGATGAATGCCGTCTCTCTTAATCAGACCAGGTTTTCCCCAGAAGGCTGTCCAATTATTTACGAAGCCCACATTGTTTGCTGGGCACCACCAAGACAACCAGCGCTGAAATGATGACATGCGGCTATACATGTCATCATTGATCAGATTGGGGAGGGGACCAGAGAAGATTACGGTGTCCGACATTGTTTTAGCATAACTACACACCGACTCCACATTAAGTTTGGTGCATTCTGATTGGCTGTGATTTCACAGATCTGTTGGTAGTTGTTACTGTGATATGTATGGACACAAAAGGGTTTGTGCAATGTCTTAGGACCCCAAAGGCAATGTTCTGTTGGTCACTTTGAAGAAAAAATGCCAATAAACATGGCCTTTCAAGTTCTTATAAAAGCAAAATCAATGATGTTACTCTTTCCACTTTTGCAGGCACCATTTCCTCTCTTTCTTCCTTTATTTTTGTCCCCCAAAGCTTCTTTGTACGTCAGTCTCTCTTGGATTCCAGCAGTGTACAATTCAGGCCTTGGCTTCATGTTGGTTCATCTCCAACCTGTCCTCAGCATCATTATGCCCCAGGGTTGAGTTCGTCTTGATGGGCTCTCTTCCCAGAGCTTCAGCCTCTTCCAAAGTGGTTGTGAGAGGTCTGCCAAGGGTCTCAGGCAACAACAACGTCAGCAGTCCAATAATAAACGCCAGGATTCCCACGATGAGCTACACAGGGGTCAGTATGAATTTAGTAAATAACTATACAATAATTTGTTAAAATGTTTTTTGTTGGCAGGATACTTGTGTAGCTAAATTATGCATAATGGAAACATGGTTTAAATAGGACAGAATGGACAAGGACATTTAACATAAAATAATATCTGTTGTTGTTGAGCCATTGAAAGGAGAACATGTATACCTGAGGTAGGTAGATCCAGTAATCAGCCAGATACACGCAGAAGGGGGCCACCACACTGCCAACACGGCATATCATACTGCCACTACCCACTGCCAGAGACCTAGAGGGAGACAATGCAGTCAGCAACATTAGAGAAGACAGATTCAGTGACATCAGGGTATACACAAGGACTAACACCATCAGTTTAAACAAGACTCAAGTCTTAAGAACAATATTCTGTGGAATGAGGTTACTAATACAAATGTAAAAATATCTACGAAGAATCTTAACAAAAATACTTTGATAAGCATTTTTAAACCCCCCTGTTTGAACTGACCTGATAATGGTTGGGTAAAGCTCACAGGTGTATAGGTAGATGAGACCAAAGGCGATTGCAATGGCAAACTTCCCTATCATACACAGAGCGATGGCCAGTGCATCAATATCCTGTGGAAAAGGAAGGGGGGGTTAAAGATGTCAAAAATAAAACACAAGCCCTTTGACCTTCAGAACTTTCATTATATCCCTGACTGCCCTAGTATAGCTGTAAACAAGAGCACAGACGATCACACAGCACTCCATGAACTGAAGATCAACCTCACCGAATCTTATCATAGTTTCTCACAAGTGATCCAATAAACTGAAGGAATGATTGCTCCATTAGTTACTTTTAACTCCATTATTATACTTTGCTGCATTAGAAACCACAACAACTATATATTTGTAATACATGTAGGCCTGTGTTTATATTGTTTATCTTAATGTGCACACCTTTAATGGAATTGGAGAGGGAGATGGCCTTTCTCCCCCTTTCCAATCTATTTTCAGCTGTATAATATAATAAAAGAGGAAAAGAAAAATAATTGTATTTAAAAAATAAAGATCTCCGGCATTCACACCTTTAAATTATATTGTACTAAATGTGGAAAACAAAAATCCTGGAGAACTTTAACTTGGCTGTTGCTATGATGTAACAGAGCCAGACAACAACACATATATGGCCAGAACTGACTACACTACAGTTACACAGAGAGAAGAGGGAGGCTGTGTGAAGCTATTTTCTCCAAATAAGCTTTTAATCAACTGTTGGTCTTAATCCACCATAGGTGTACTGGCTTTGAATGAACGTGTTCTTTAGTATTTTGCAATAATTAATGTTTCTAACATTGTTTGTGTAAAGCCGTCAGTAATATGGTATATTTGCATGGTCATTATCATATTATGTGTGTCAAAAGATATTGAAGAAAATCGAGTGTAGGGCTTAGAAAAACCTAAGTTAAATTTGGACATAATACACAGAAAGGGATAAGGGTCTGTGAGGGCTATTACTGTAACGTTCTGTAAGTGTAGCAATATGGACAAACACAGCATTCAGGAGCAAGAGCACTCAGTTTAGGCACCATAAAAAGGGGGTCTGTTGAGTATTTCCTGAGATCAAATGAGGTTTTGACTGCAAGGATCGCCTTACAAATCGTCAGAAACATCTCAAAAACAAGAATGGATAGAAAATCTGAGAAAATGATGAGAACATACACACCAACGGCTGAGAAAGTTTACACAAGAGGGAAGAAAGGGAAGATAAGCTTTCCTTCACAAAATAATAAAGACTGCCAAGCTATTCCTAACCCTAACCTGGATGGTTGTGAACTTGGCTCATTGGATGAAAACAGAAAGCAAGAATCTGTTGTATGATGCTCCTGACACTGAGACATCCTCAAGTCATTTGAATGTTTCAGTCCACTGTGAAACTCTTCTCAGACAGTAATAGTTAGTTTAAATTAGGTTCCATACCCTCTGGTATGTGAGGCGTATATAGGTCTGCATATTGACATCAGCAGAGAGGAAAAGTAGAAAAAAGCTAGATAGATGACTCTCTGTCCTCTGTCTCCATGCTGCTATTTTTCATCTCAGGCTTGCTGACCGATCTGTTTGTAATGGCTTTCAATATAAGGGCATATTAACTTGGACATTACGCAACAGCTGTCTGTCAACCCAACCAGGAAGAGCACTAAATTGGGTCAGTGCTCAGAGAACAGATACTGGGAACTGCTTGTGTCGTATATCAGGGTTCAACAGAGGTTCAGGGCCTGGGGTCATGTGAAGGCAGTAATCCCAAGAGCTGAGGGTACACACAGGTTGAAAGTGAAAATACTTTTAAATAGCAAGATGTCATATATAACATGTTTCTGGCTTTCCTTGAATGGTAATGTTTTTGCATTGAAAATGACAATGATTTGTTGATTTAGTTTTTAGAGTTAGAATAAATAAAAGTGTTCATTATGCATCTAATTAACATGATTATCATAGTCTAAGATTAAAGAATACCCACACTTCAATGTCTCACTCTCTTACACACTCTCAGTACGTACAGCAGGTACCACAATGATGAGCATACAGGCGACCCCGGCCAGGAGCAGAGCTGGGGCGCACGTCTTCTTCCTGCCAATCCGATCCATTGCAAAACAGCCAACCAGATAAGAGGGGATCTCCCACTGCACCTGGAAAGACCCGGCAGCTGTCAGTGAGAGATTATAGTGGCACTGACACACTGACAAGGGAAACCTCTATCTAGGGGACGCAAATAACCTGCATCTGCAAGGTTAGTGACGCTTGGCGCGTTTCCACTGCAGGCCTCGCTCGGTTTGGTTAGGCCTTATTAGGCCTGGCTCACTTTAATGCTGCGTTTCCATTACAGTTTAGGAACTGGGGCAGTTACTATAGTAACGCAGTGTAGGCGGAGCCGTGACGTCATCTTCAATGAGAGCCCCAAAAAAACAACACAGCCGTTAGCTCTTAGCACTCAGAGCTCACAGCTCCTCATATCTGTTCAGAAACTTGACAAAAGTTAAACAAGTACAAACCACAGACTACCTGTGTCATGGCGAATATAGTCGCTGGTTTATTTATGTCTGTATAGGCCGTTGTTGTGAGTGTGGACGGTCGGAGCATATATAACGTTAGCTTAGCCAAGCTACATTTAGAAAACACGCATTTTAAAAGGGTTTTTCGCCTGCCGTGTGTCTGCAGACTTGTCAAAGCATTAATTCATGGTTTTTACTAACCGGTATCAGTATGTTGTTACTTCGGCATCATTTTGAAACGTGTATTACAATTAAATCACGGTCAAATATGTTCATCTTGTTGTAGTTGTAGCCCCCTTGCCAGCGATTCTCTCTCTAGTTTAGCATACTCAGCCCGACTCAGCCTGGTTGTTCCTGGCCCTAGAACCACGATTTAGTCGGTCCAGAAAAAAGGTGAAAAAGTAGCCCGGGCCAAAACTAGGCCAAGTGGAAACGCAACCAAAAACGGGCCCGGCACGCTTAAAGCGAGCTACCCACTGCAGTGGAAACGCGCCATTAGTCTCAGCTGGATGTCCCCACATGACATAGGTGAGGAATATAAATGTTTGTGTGTAAAGGAAGTACAATAAATCAGTAGGAGGGAAATTGGCATTGCATGAAAAGTGCATCAGTTTTGGTGTTTATTTAAAAAAATCTTATTTTCTTAAATCAGATGGGCAAAGACACAGGGAAGCTACAGTATTAAGCTTGAAGATGTTGTTATTCTGTTGTTTAATTGCTTACAGGCTCATTTGAATGTGTTTCTAAAATCAGAACAGCTTACTTTGTAAACAGCCTAATTTCAAACCCACACTGACATAGTTGTTTAAGTATATATTGTTCATGCATATTCACACTCATCAGCCAATCACTTACCAGCTAGGAAGAGGTTCATGTACTGGTTTCCTCCTAAGTTGACAGAGCCCAAAGAGAAGACATAGTAGCCCAGGCTGCCGATGAACCAGATGGACCACACTGTGCACGTACGGCCCGCCATCCTCCAGCTGCCGAACAGAGGACAGGATGGACAGCTTCTTCTCAGATGGTGCTGGCCGCTCCTCCTCCTGCCCCAGCAGAGCTGTGCCGTTCTCTCTCTCCCTCCGGCTCCAGCAGGTCCTCCACCTTCAGCCTGCATTCGAGGCCGTTGAAAGCGGGCCATATTGTCCAGCAGGGCCTGGGCGTCCTTGTAACGGCCCCTGGCCATCAAGTAAAAGGGTTGTTTCAGGAAACTTCCAGCAGAAGAGCAGGAAAGGCGAGGTGCAGGTGGAGAGGATGATCTGGTAGATTCCACCAGACCCGCACCAGGTAGCCGCCAGGGCCACCACCATGATGCCCACAGCAAAGACCGCGTGCACGTGCATAGAGGTCCATGTGCGTACCTTAATGCCAGTGAACTCTGTGACGTAGACAAACACCACCACGAGGTAGCCGCTGGACACCTGCCAAACGCAAAGATGGGAAAAGAGGAAAGTAGGTACAACGGATAAAAAGAGAGAAGGGGAAGGAGGATTGGAAGATAACATTGAGAAAAGGTGGAAGAAAAGAGAGAAGATCAAAGGATAATCATTTTCTGTTGATATACAGACTCATGAGTGGTTATTTATTACAAATAAAATACATATACCAATTGTTTAATTAGTTTTATTTGAAGTATTATTTTGAATACATTGTGTAGGTATACTGTATTAACCACGGAGTGTCACCATTTCTGGTCAACCCGGTATCACGGTGAGACGTGAACATGTGACGCTTTACCATTGCTGGGAGACGTGAAGATGTCACGGTTTCGTCTTTTCAAAACGTGAAAAGCGTGACAGCTACACGGTATTGTTAACCCATGTTAACCAGTGGAGAAATAACCGGAAATACCAAGCAAATGCTACCCCGACGTAATGATTTATTTTTTAATAGTCACACTCGATTACAGCGATTTTCTTGTTGCCCCAGCTGGTCGACACCTCTTTTAGCATAAACAAAGGCTACATTATTGTATTAAATCGATGTTAATCCATGCGTGTGGATGTGGAATTAACGGACGTGACGTTGTGCGATTGAGTTGCCAAGCAACAGCTTCGGTTCATGTTAATTTACAAACTATTCAACTACAACCGTAGTTATATTTAAAAACATGTTAGAAGGCCTCCACGAAATACTTTAATGCACATTCAAATGTAAATGTGAAGGAATGTGTGTATAACAAAATACATCGGTCATTAAACGAAACCGGAAACAGACGTAGGCAAGATCCTCAGCTCGATGATTGGATGGTTATCCGCAATGCATGCTGGGATTTGGTGTTTATGTGATGTGAAATCTGAAAACGTTTTTTAAAAATACAATAATACTTTATTCCGAGTGTGCTTGCTTTTCTCTTTGAAAGTCATCACATAACGGCATTGTAATACACGGTTCGGCTGCATTAAATATTACATATCTGCCGTAATTCTCTATTTATAGAGCCCTGATGAGAAGACTTCTAGACAAACATGAGGCACTGAAAACGTGACGTGGATCATAAATATATAAGCAATTAAACAACATCTTGCATTTATTTTCACACAATACGTCTCCTTGCAGTATCAACACTAATTCGGCTGACTTTTATATTTGATCCAATTGGTAGATAGGCTGTATTTACACCATAACCGTGCAGAGCTGATAGAAAGGGACACCTGGTGGTCAAAACACGTTATTGAATTGTATTATACTTATTATTATACATACTTTTTTAGCATATTGTTTATTTTATTCTAACGTAGTACTTTTTAACGCATGTAAGATATGCAAACACTAAGCTGTCTGTGGCTCTTTCCTGCTGTAACGCTGGCACATTTCCCCTCTGTGGAACTAATAAAGGTATTCTGATTCTGATTCTTTAATGGTCACACATGCAGAGCACACAGCACACACAGTGACATTTGTATCTACAGATAAATATTAAGCCTGACAAAGTACTTAACGTCTAATATATTGCTTTCCTGAATGTTAACTATGTTTTAAGCACTTATTTGTTTATTATATGTTTATTATTAAACTGATATTATACATATGTATTATACTCTTATAAGATGTATGTAGATAGTATAAGAAATGTGCAGAATGACAGTTTAATGGTGGAGTATAAACACATATTGATAGATGTCTTGTAATGCACTGTTGAGGACCTGCGACCCAAGTTTTTCATTCATTGCATAACTACACAGTAGTTGTGTATAATATGATATAATAATAATAATAATTCCTTACATTTATTATAGCGCTTTTCCAGATGCTCAAAGCGCTTTACAAATACACATTACACATATCATACATGCAATGGTCATGTACTGTGGACAATACCACAGGAGCAAGTTCAGGTGAAGTGTCTTGCCCAAGGACACATATGTCAATAAACCTTAGCTTATAACATCTTGAAATCTTGAAAGGGATGTTCAAACTAGTCATTATATACAGTCTTTAATGAACTATTAGTAGAGAATAACGAGTAATGAATATACTTTATAGAGATCATATTAATATCTAATAATAAAATAATAAAAATTCAATAACGTGCTTTGACCACCAGGTGTCCCTTTCTATCAGCTCTGCACGGTTATGGTTTAAATACAGCCTATCTACCAATTGGATCAAATATAAAAGTCAGCCGAATTAGTGTTGATACTGCAAGGAGACGCATTGTGTGAAAAGAAATGTAAGATGTTGTATAATTGCTTATATATTTATGATCAACGTCACGTATTCAGTTTTGGAGGCAGTTCTCCTGTTTGTCTAGAAGTCTTCTCAGCAGGGCTCTATAAATAGAGAACTACGGCAGATATGTCATATTTAATGCAGAACCGTGTATTACAAAGCCGTTATGTGATGACTTTCAAAGAGTAAAGCAAGCACACTCGGAATAAAGTATTATTGTATTTTTAAAAAAAAAACGTTTTCAGATTTCACATCACATAAACACCAAATCCCAGCATGCATTGCGGATAACCATCCAATCATCGAGCTGAGGATCTTGCCTACGTCTGTTTCCGGTTTCGTTAATGACCGATGTATTTTGTTATACACACATTCCTTCACATTTACATTTTAATGTGCATTAAAGTATTTCGTGAGGCCCTCTAACATGTTTTTAAATATAACTACGGTTGTAGTTGAATAGTTTGTAAATTAACATGAACCGAAGCTGTTGCTTGGCAACTCAATCGCACAACGTCACGTCCGTTAATTCCACATCCACACGCATGGATTAACATCGATTTAATACATGTATTAAATCGATGTTAATCCATAAACAAAGGCTACATTAATGTATTAATGTAGCCTTTGTTTATGCTAAAAGAGGTGTCGACCAAGCTGGGGCAACAAGAAAATCGCTGTATCGGAGTGTGACTATTAAAAAATAATCATTACGTCGGGGTAGCATTTGCTTGGTATTTCCGGTTATTTCTCCACTGGTTAACATGGGTTAACAATACCGTGTAGCTGTCACGCTTTTCACGTTTTGAAAAGACGAAACCGTGACATCTTCACGTCTCCCAGCAATGGTAAAGCGTCACATGTTCACGTCTCACCGTGATACCGGGTTGTTTCTGGTTGTTATGTATAAGCACTAGCTTACTTCATTTCTAATGTATGGTATGGTTGCTATATATACAACGTTTCATGTAATGTTGAACCCTTGTTTTCTTTGTCAGAACTTCTAACATTAGTTTTTTTTTATTTCAACGTGATGCATATGGCAGTAATCAGGTGTTAAGGTCCCTTTTAATAAACTGTGTCTGCGCTGTGTTTGGAGTGGCTCTGCAGCAAAAGTCTATCTGTGTCTGTTTCCATGTGAAAACAACAGCTAGGTAGGAATGGAGGGGGGTGGTAGAAGACGAGGAGAGAAACTTTGACTGTAAGGGCTCTTTCAGCACAAATTCCCTGCCATGTGGACTAACCCTCGTCGTAATGACTCCCTTCCTTGGCCTTGTAAACATGTTGTTTTATGCACACAAAAACAACATTCTGCACAGTTTTAACTTACAACACACTCTTACTTTTCTGGCTCTACAACTATTTATCCCCTTCTAGATTCCTTATAATAGTTTATGTTCAACAGGGTGGATCAGTTTACTTGACTGTTGCAGCTGAATTTTACCAGTACGGACCTGATTTGATTTGTAAGATTAAATCAGATTTTTCACTTTTAACTATTTAGAAGAACATCAACTCAACTCATAACCTTAACAGGTCATTACATGGCATATGTTCTTGATTATTAAAAAATGGCGAGAAATTAAAGTCTGCACATTTCTTGCATTGTCTTGTTTTATATGAGCTTAAATATGATCACATCATCACCCCATCCTTAAAGCACTACACTGGCTACCGTGGAACTGAGGATCGAATTCAAGGTCTCCGTCCTCACCCACCAGTGTGTCCATGGAACTGCCCCTCCCTACCTCAAGGAACTCCCTCACCCCCCATACCTCAACTCCAACTTCCTCAAACCTCCCAGGACTAAGCTCCGTACTATGGGAGACCGGGCCTTCTGCTCGGCTGCTCCCAGTCTATGGAATACACTCCCCGACCAAATGAGAGCACCACAGACCGTGGAGGCTTTTAAAAAAGGCCTCAAAACCCATCTCTTCAAAGAGCCTTTGCCTAGACCTTTTTATCACCCTTTTATTTATTTTTTTATTGCTTTTTATTAATTCTACCGTGTTGTGTAATGTTTATTTATACTGTTTCATGCTCACTACTTGTAGCACTTTGGGATTTGGAGTCAAATATGAAGTGCTTTATAATGGAAACCCATTATTATTATTATTATTATTAAAGGTTTTTCTCTCAGAGCTATGTGAATGTGTTCTTAATATACACAGGCTGGAAGAAACATACTGTGGTCTGCATGTTGGGCTTGGTTGCAATGTGACTAACAGGACGTGGCATTCATAGAGAACACAAACTATTAGCTAAAGATAGTTTTGTAGGAAAAAAAGACGGATGATAAACCTTAAGAAGCAGTTATTACAAGAGAGTAGAAAGCCCCTTACCAGCTCAACCCAAACTTACCATTGCAAGAAGAAAGCGGAGCACCACAAAGATAAAATAGTTTCGCAGAGAATGCTACAGAAACCCCTGAGGACAAACTGACACAGCTGGTGAACATCATGATCTTATCACACGACCAATTCTGGAGGAGAGAGAGAGGGTGAAAGAGAGACAGGTAGATAGAGTAATTGAGCTCACCTAAGTTTACAGATGAGCAATGCATTCAAACAGGGTTAATATGGTGCTTTTAAGGGATTCATTTGGAGCAACTCAGTTTTATAGATCTGTATATTAAGTCAACTAATGAATTAATCAACTAAATAGTTTGAGACAGCTAAGAATTGTCTTCAGTCAAAGCCAGCCCTATTAGCAACTTGTCACAAGTCATAATATTAACTGCGGCATTTTGGGGCAAACCCTTTGCGTCACACCTTAGAGATTTTCCTTAATTCTACCTGTACAATATTGAACACCAATATTCTCCAGCTATGTCTGCAGGGTAAAATACAGTGTTTTACTGTATATATAGGTTAAACATAAACATCCAATCGCATTTTGTATTCAACATGGAAGAGATTCTCCAGCACTTCATTACCAAGCAAAACCTGACTTTACGATGTGATGCTCAGCCCATTAAAGTATTCACCCGATAGTCATGGTGGATTAGACCCCAGATAAAAACACAAGACAAAATACAGTGTGGTGGGATGATGATTAACAAACTCATTTTAACCACTTAGGAGAAGGCTAGCAAACATAAGAGCAAGTTTACACTCGACTGACTGTATCAGACCAAAGTACTTCTTCTAAATGTTGATCACTTCAGTTGTGACTGAGCTGTTGGCTGGATCACCTGATCAGTCCAAAGTGTGCCTATTGTTTCCTTGTCTTACTTGTTCCTTTCAGTTTGTTTTCCCTCAATCCCATCATCCACACCAACCAGATTGTCGCTCTCCTATCCCTCTCCTACATGATTCATGCCTAGTATGATTCATGCCTACATGCTCGAAAGCAACTCTGTCCTGCAGTCACATAAACACCACTGAGATGACAGTATCATGTTTAAGTACAAAGATGTATAGAGTATTATAAAGGCAGGCTCTTTCAGCCACAGCCTGCACTACCTGAACATGTGCTCTTGTTTACAATCACATGGGAGAATAACAGCTGTATATGGTGAATCTTCATGTGTCTCATATGACATCATTTACTGTGTGGATTCTCGCTCTGCAAAAAAGTATACTCCCCTTTTTCCTCCTTCCTGCAGCCCCTGCTCACCTGTCAGCAAGGTCCCCAAACACCAACGCACCGATCAGCACCCCCAGCATGAAAGTAGGCTGGCACAGCATAGCTAGCCACTCCTTCTCACACACACACCAAGTCCCAGTCCGTCACAATGCTTTGGTGAACTTCAGTGAGGTCGTAGACAAAGGTCCCTTCGCAGGCTTTCACTGTTTTGTTGGTATATAAGGTGTCTGTAAAGGGTTGTGGGTTGATGCGCGTGGCGCTGTGGCACCGGCTGAGCTGCCACTGCTCCCCCCCACCCGTCGTCACTACCAAGGGCCCAGTCCCTGCCTTGAAGATTGGTAGGATGTCCTTCAGGCTAGACGCTGTCAGGTTACCATATAGGACCTCAGTGATGTTGCCTGGCCCCCCACACACAAAGTTTGGCGTCTGCACTAAGAATACAGAGGCCAGGTAGTGGATCCCACAGGCTATCACCTGGAAGGCTGCTGCGAAGTACACACATGCCTGAAATCTGGAGAGAAATTAAAAGTATTAAGGTGTGTTGACACCAGAGATGTAGAAGAGATGATGAGAGAGTTGCATGCAATCTTTTAGCCCTCCCATTGAACAGATAACAGCAAAAAGGTCACCTTAACAACTCTAACTAATATTAAGCTTTGCTCAAGTGCATTAACAATACAGTGTTGAGCATTCAAATTAAGCCAACTTTACATACTGAATAGGATTTAAGTTAGACAGACCAAATCATTTTATACAAAAGGACACACTGCATATTGAAACATACTAATAGTGGCTTGTGATTTGTGTGAATAAAGCAGCAGCAACATTAATTCAGCACTTTTTTTGCTTAGGGACAAACTGGAACAGCTTCTAAAAAGTTACATTCAGGCATTACATTTAGCATTTTAACTTTTCATGCAATAAACAAAAAAGAAATATACAGTTCCAATCAGAGTCAGAAAAATAGGGTTTTTCTTCAAAAACACACACAAGTTCCTCTGAGTTGAAGACTCGCCCCTCACTAATCATTTAGAAGTGGTACAATATGTTTTCAAAATGATCCAAAAGCATTGTAGCCTACTAAACATCATGCGAAGTGGTTGGGCTCTTTTTTAATAATAATAATAATAATAATAATAATGCATTTTATTTTATAGCGCTTTTCACAACTCAAAGACGCTTAATGTGCATCTATTAGTGTTTGTTTTCAAAAACGCATTTGTAACATGGAATTAAAAATAACTTTGAGACGTTGAGAAGTTACTATTCCAAATCCACTGTTGATGATACGCAAAGCACCATGCCAACTCTGTTTTAAGTGATACCGTTTGAAATGTCCGATCTCGTCGAATATCCTCTCCACGGTCATTATGGGACGGTGAGTTTGCGCCTCGTGGGTGCCGGTGCGTCTCTCCCTCGCGGGCAGCCGATCCGAGCGCTTCAACGCTTAATATGAAACTGTGGCTTCCAGAGAGCGGAGTGAGGGTAGGAGGGGTGCACATACATACATACACACACACACACGCACACACATAGGCTCACAAAAAAAACACACACACATGCACACGGACCGACGCGAATGTGGGATCCGCTTTCAAGCGCTAAATCAGTGTGAAACACACTCCACTTTGTTTGGAGATTATGTTTTGAAACATCACAGAGAACGGTCGCTAGGAATTCTAATGTTGAATTTGTATTTTTCAGTTTTTTTTTATTTCAAGTGAATTAATAATAACAATTGTTTTTGTCAGTTCGGACCTAATCACAGCCTGCCTATAGCATTCATTTGGTGAAATAGACTGTAGCCTGATCAGTGACTATAAATCGAGTGCCAAAGGGCAACACTGACTCCTGACATCATGGAGCCATATTTCTTCTGAGGTGTTAGTCCTGTCAAATCAACCTGCTCTAAAGCCGAGAAAAGCAGCTGCTGTAAATATGCCTGGCGTTTACAACTTGAGCTTAGTAGTAATGAGCTGGGGAGTTCACAATCACCACAAGTTCAGAGTTACTCTCTGAGCAAACAATATTCATCATGACCTCTCTTTCCATATGTTCTCCTCTCAAAAACACAGAGCTTCAACCTATGCCCAGGATACAATTCAACCAAAACATGACATTCACAAAAAACGTGGTTAAAGTCCAAATCCCAAGGATAATCAGTGTAAATAATACTGTATTATTTACACTGATATTTCAAGAATCTCAGCCATTTTGAATCGTGTTTTTCCTTGTGTTATTCAAAATGGTTGAGATTCTTGAAATATTTGGCATTTATCACAAATCAATTAAAGTGTCTTTATGAATAGCCTGTGACTGCACATGAGTCCTTAAGGGTAAATCAGGCCTTTTTAGACTCTAAAATGCTACAGAATAGTACAGTTTACAGGCCTCACATGTTTGTGTGTGTCAGTCTGCATTTGTGTTCAGTTTTGATGAAAGATGCAGGTTAGTCCCACTTTTTTCACCACGTTTGTTATGACATCCCAGCTCCTTACTCTTACATGTACAACTTTTTGGAAAAATCCTCAACACTAAAGGCTAATTCATGAAACAAAACCCCTATGATGTCCAAGCCAACCTCTCTTTATCTCTGTGTCTACAAGTGTTGCTTTTGAAGCGTTTGATTAATGATTTATTTGAGCCGTAGTTGTGACCATATTGACTTTCTGCTCCTAGTCTTGTCTGGATTCAGCAGGACTGCAGACTCTGACAGTGTTTGCTTTGCTATCGCACTGACTGCCATCTGCTCCATGTCATCCGATAATCAAACAGTGGAGGTATAAGTAAAATAGGTAATTCTTGCAGACTGACACATTACAAATACTGTGCAGCATTGAAATAAAAGACTCTGCTTTTTAATAACCAGTGTTTCAGGAGTAACGTTTAAATATCAACTAAATCATTTAACACACTGCATTAGACTCTTATGAGTACTAACCATTTCTGGACTCCAAGACGTATTTAATTTAGTATGCTAAAGATTGAATGTCACAGAAAATGTATTTGGTTTAAAGTAAATAAAGGAGATTTATTTATGGCACAAACAGATGCTGTTGCCATACATCACAGAGTGGAGCTGTCGTCTTACACATTCATGCTAGGCAGTGGTGATAGAGACTACAACCTTTAAAAAAATCTATGTTTAATATACTTTTATATCATAATAAGCTTTTTCTTGTAATCATGGGAAATAAATGACCAACATAGGGTCACTGAGGATAAGAGGTGCTTATAGTTATTGAGGGGTGCATTTTTGATTTTGTATATGTCCTATTCTGCTCCACTGTTTATAGAAGGTGTGGAAAAAAGATTATTTTTGACCTCAGTATACATAGTTTTATTCAGTCTGCAATTACTGCATCTAGGAGTGACTACGTTTGTGTCTAGGGATATTAAAGTTTGGGATTGTTCTTGTTTCTGATTGGATTACAATGATAGAAAATTAAGTTTGTGTGATAGAAATCAACACGTAATGAAATAAGACCCCACGGTTTGATGATTGATAGGTGCAGGGACGTGCACAGGTACGGGCTAATGTTGCCAGGGCAACGGCCCGTTTGGCCTTTTTGGCTGACCTGCCCCTCTGGAGAGAGCGAGAATTAATTTTTTTTTCTTTTTCTGTTGTGGTCGAATCAACATGATAATCCCACAATTAGTAGCGTCTCGCTGCGGGAAACACACTTGTCAGCGCTGTCATCTGCCGGTGCGTTAAAACCATCTCAGTGTCGGATTTTGGAAACTTGATTTGAGTTGTCTCATCATGGCAGTTAGGGTATAAGGGACAAACCAGGGGACTTTACTTCCTCTTGATACCGTTGGTTATTTACAAAAACACCTAAATATAGCCTACTTGTTGTGATTGTGTGTCTTTCATCTGTAAACTCCGTCAACGGGGCCGTTCGCTCTCTTTTCTTGATCGCCCTCTCATATAGGCTCAGAACAGTCTCATAATACACACAATGCACACAGAAGGATTCAAACTTGTATTTCCGGATCCACACTTGTGTTTTTCAATGCACACACAAATGTATTCCGTTTCATATACATGTAAATAAAATCCAAATACAGAAAAAAGTTTTACATATGTATTTTTGATCCTCACATATTTGTTTTCCGTTTAAAACCTCTGAACCTGCAAACACAAACCGCTTTCTGTGCACGGATCGCTGTGCATTCGTGTGTGAGTTTTTTGAGACTCCCCTGACGGTCAGCCGATTCGTACTTGTAATTATTTCTATCTAAAGCCAATCAGATGTCTCCTCAATTCTAAGCCAATCACATGAGCGCACCCCCACGAGGGTAGATTTCTTGCGTTCATGACGTAGCGCTTCATGTACGCATTTTGCGTAGTCCGGAGCTGACAGCTCCATGGAGCCTGCCTGCAGGCGCTAATCTCAGGACACCCTCCACTCTCAGTACAGCGCCACTTTCCGAACAGGAAATGCACGCAAATACAAGCCTTTATATTATTAAGGTACAGCGCCACTTTCCAAACCATTGATGAATGCTTGTGTACACAAAAACGGCAGGCAACATCGTTTTAAATGTGTGTTTCCTGTATGGCGAATACAGCTGCTTTATTTATGTCTGTATGAAGTTGTTGTGAGTGTGGAGGGAGCAGCTACAGGTTAGTTTAGCCTAATCGATCAGTGCACTACGAAGCCAGTGCTAGACAGTGACCTGTTAACGGGGGGGAGCCCCACCGGTCATTATCGGCCGATATTCACTCTTAATAGTTTGATCGGTGCTCTCTATAAAGGCCGATCAGGAGAGCTGGATCTGATCGATATGGACATAAACGCGAGTGAAATATAACCGGACGCGAGAGAGAGATCAGATCAGCTGCTGAGTCTGATCTGCTACACGCTGCTCTGCATGATCACCTGATGCTCCGCCCTCTGTTTAGCGAGCTGACCGGACTGCGCAAAATGCGTATATGAAGTAATCTTACCCTCGTGGGGGCGCGCTCATGTGATTGGCTTAGAATGAAGGAGACATCGATTGGCTATAGATAGAAAAATTACAAGTACGAATCGGCTGACCGTCAGGGGAGTCTCAAAAAACACCACACGAATGCAAAGCGATCCGTGCACAGAAAGCTGTTTGTGTTTGCAGGTTCAGGGGATTTAAACGTGAAACTAATAAGTGAGGATCAAAATACATATGTAAACTTTTTCTGTATTTGGATTTTATTTACATGTATATGAAACGGAATACATTTGTGTGTGCATTGAAAAACCCAAGTATGGATCCGGAAATACAAGTTTGAATCCTTCTGTGTGCATGTGTATTATGAGACTGTTCTGAGCCCATACTCTCATGGGTGAATACTTCACTGTCCCGCTTCATTGTAGAATTTCTGCCATGTCTCTACCACTTTAGTTTGACCATCTCTGTTATTAAGTTACGGAATACTAAATAGCCTAAATAAGTAATTAGATACCTTCCACCTTGCGCTCATAATGAAAGAATAAGAATAATGCGTATTGAACTGGTTTAATTAATTAGTGAGTTTATTTAGGTAGCCTAGTTAGAAGCAGGGTTAAATTGGGATTTGATATGTGGG